GCTTTGAGCAATCACTTCTCGGCCTTTTGGCTGAGATCAAGTGCAGTATAATGCTTTTAGCAGAAGTAATAAAGAATTATTCCTTGGCTTCATTTCAACTGTGCCAATATATTGGTAAAAACATCTTTGGTTTCTTCTTTTGTGGATCTCACAGTACTGTGGGTAAGACAGACATCAATTGAATACTTGCAAAAATAATTACAGAAATTCTAGTTTCATTGCTGAAACTTTCTTAATAAAGTTCTGTGCAAATAATAGTTATTTTTGCAGAAAATATTGCTCTTATCTAATCATAAAATTGTAATAGAACTCTCTTCAATCTTTCGGACAAAGATAGTATTTTTCATTTAAAAACTTTTTCATGCTCACACAAGAGAAGTACAGAGAGTGCAAAAGTTCACTCTGAATATTTATGTTTCTGCATAAGGATGTTTTTTTAATTTCCGATGGTTATACTTGGGTTGTGCTGATTCAGTCATATGCACACATGCTCCATATTTATACTTTTGAAAGAAATAATCAGAAAATATGTACAGCACTTACACCTACAGAAGGTTAAATAAGAGCCCTTGCTCTTTCAGGAATCATTTGTTTATTGGAGCTGCAGTTTTAGGGCAGAGAAGATATATATGGCACTCATGTTAAGGTGAAGCAGAAATTAAAGAGATCGGGCCTATAAATTAAAAAGACACTGGCCTACAGTCTTGTGTTTCTATGTATGTTCTGTCACCCCACCTCTTTTCTCCAAATGTACATCCAGCAGGCATCTCTGGCTCTATTTCTCTTCTCCTCCTCCCCAGTCAGTCGTCCTGGCCTCACAGACCTTGTACTATGAGAGGCATAGTGATCCCTGACATAAATCTCATACTCATGCTTCAGAGTAAGAATAACTCAACCTTTACCCAGTAGCCTTGATTGAGCTCTTTCTTCTCTTTGGAAACAGCTTTCTCTTCCTCATGAAATGGAGGTATCCCAGCCCCATCTCATCTATTTTGCCAGTAAGGTTGCGTCCACAGTTGGATCTGAGATAGGACAAAGACTAAAGGCAAAAGTCCTCTGACCTCGTTAGAGGAGAAGATGACTGCTCAAGCCACCCAGAAACAGTCCCCCTCTGCCTTTCCACACCACCTGCAGAAGTTCTCTGGGAGTTGCACTTATTAATTTCCTGATGCTGTTTGTGTTTTCAGTGACTGGCACAGTACCTGGCACACAGCCTCACCCACTTAGTGCTATCTGAACACTGAGGAAGGTTTTCTAAGTTTTAATAGAAAAAGCAGCTGACTGGGCACCATTTTACTCTTGATATCAGGGTTCTGAGAGACTTCCTGAAGAGATCCTTATGTCAGCATAATAAAATGTTTCATCTAAGGGTTGAAACAATGAAATAATGCCACGTGGTTTTTGTATGGATTAAATGAGAAATGGAATCCAAAGTGTCCAGTTCAGTGAGACCAGGAGAGCGGCCAGTGGGAGTTAGACCAGAGCCTGCTCCCATTCATACATCAACTGCTAGTGGAGACTTGAAGAAGCGGTGCGACTTCTGAGTCTTTTCCGACATCTGAACAATGAGGTGAGTAGGACCTGACACGAAGGAAAAGATGGAGGGTCCTACAAGTGGAAGAGATTCGTGTTCATGGAAAGAACCATGGAATGAGATTTCTAAATTCTAGCTTTGACCACGATTAGCCCTGCAATTTTAGCTCACTGGGACACAAGTTCCTTGTTCCTATATTCAATGAAAGAGTTCAGTTTATTTTTATGTTTTTTCTCTTATTACTGATGGATTTGTAGAAATCCTCTTAATGTGCGCACAGGGTTAAAATAATCACAGACAGTATGGATAATATTAGGCCTTATGAATACTAAGAAAACCTTGCACCAAAACTTCTATTCATCTTCTATATAATATCAGAATTTACATAGTTCCTTCTTTTCTCCTTGTATCTAAAGAATTCAGTTGTACTTGGCAACACTCCAGCTTTGATCAGATGTTCTCACCTCACTGCTGATGAGTTCAGCTCCCGTCTGTTACCCATTTTGCTGAAGTGGGAGGGTAGGATAACTGGAAAACAGCATGGGCTTCTGCACACCTTTCTGTAGGTTTATTTCACACGTCAGTTTACACTCCTTATACATACATTCATAAGAATGAATATGTTGGCTTTGGTATGAAAATTTCTAGACTTTGAGATCATGACGGCTACTTCAGGCTCCTTGTTTCATAAATGTTATACCCATAGTACACGAAAAGCCTCGCGCTTCTTCTCATACAACCCTCTTACTTCTCACACGAGAAACAGACCTGGAAAGTAACTTGCACAGGACACAGTGATCTGAGCAAAGAAAGCCCAAAGTTACCACACACTGTAGGCTGTATGCTTGGTTATTCTTCTGGGAGCTAATCACCTCAGAAATGCTCACTCTAAGATATGCCCTTTTACTTTGTTGTTATTCTTCAAATAGAACCAGAAGTGTTCACTTTATTTCAGATGTGACATTTTGTAGCACTTAGCACTTTTAACTAGAAGTGGAATTTGAGTAAGCACATTTGAGTTCTTTCGATCATTCTTTGCAGTCCTGGCTGTGTTTACTGAGGGTTTACTTATTACTGTGCTAAGTATGTACATGCATTATACCATTTAGCTTTCCAATAAGGAAGGCATTGCATGTCACTGACAAGGAAAGCAAAGGTACAGAGGTCAGTTTTCCTGCACCCCATAGCTAGTGCATGGTAAACCTCTGATGCATTCCAGCAGTCTAATGTAACTTGGCACATGGTAGAAAGAACAACGAATAGCAGTCAGTAGCTGTCAATAGCAGTTGCACTCCAAAATCACCTAATGAACATTGATGTGCCTTCTCAATGGAAAATAATTTCTTGTAGCTGTGCATATATGGTACACATACATAGATTTGCATATAAATAATGACTAAATCCTTTCTGCTTTTTTAGTTTATTTGTTTATATTGGTGGGAGAGGTTAGTCCTGATATTAAAGAGAAAGTATTAACTTTACAGCATCTTGGACATAGCAGCTTCTCAATAAATAACTGTTGAGTTCATTCTTTTTTTTCTTTCTAAATCAAATGGCACTGAGATCAGGACCCAGAGATCCAGGTTGTAGTCCTGATTTCAGTGGTGATTCACTGTGAGGCAGCACTGGCTGATCATCTTCTCTGAGCTGAGACTGCAGTGAGTCAAGAGGGTCAGATTCTTAGTGGTGTGCTCAGGGAGCCTGGGCAGCTGCATGGCCCAGCACTGCCAGACCCCACAGGGAGGTAAGAGGCAGTTGCTGGGATCTTGGAGCAGCACTGATATGTCTTGTGTTCTCTTCCAGTCTAGTCACCAAGAAGAGAAGCATGCGGTAGATTCCTTGCCAGGCACACTCGTGCTACAGGCCAGTGAGCGCTGTCCTGCCAGGGCTGTGATAAGAGAGCCAGAACTCTGAGCTTCATAAGAGAACAAGGACATGGGCATAGCAAGTCCTTCTTCAGAGACTCTCAGAACACACAGAGGGCCCCTTAGGAAGGGTGGGGGTGAAGGAGCAAGTGTCAGCTCGCCGAGATGGCGATGCCAGTGGGCACAGTTCCACCTCACACCAGCTCAGTTCTGGCTGCAGTAGCAGAGCCCTGGTCCTGCAAGCTGCCTGGCTTCCTGCACAGCTGGGACTGAATGCACTGAGGAGGGAAGATCGCTTTTCCAGGAGTTGGGGAACATGGGGTTCTGGGCCATTATTCGCAGGCAGCTAAAGGTGTGGAACTGACCTGCCCTTGACTGTTCCTTCTCTCCTTTTCCTTTCTGTGTACCACCACGAGCCCAGTAAGAAACAAGGAAATTCAGGTTGCGAGGCCCAGAGAAAGCTGAATGCATGAGATGCAGTGGTCTCAGTCTCGTTGCCTCTCCAGGAACTCCCACTGCAGTCCTTCTGTCCGGTGACACAGGTTCTTCTCACAAAAGATCTTAGAGCTTCTTGATAACAGTAGTGGTTTAAGTTTACCATCCTTCTTAGATGGTACTAACTACAAAGTGCCCCGAAAACAGGCTTTTTTGTAATTTTTGTGGCAAATTCATTTGGTACAACCTACAACTCAGTACACTAACTGTACCTCACTGAGTGGGAATTTTCACATGCTTGGTGGCAAAGGCATCCCTGGGTTTGGTCACAGATCTCCGCAGGCCCTGCTGTGGGGCATACAAAATTGAAGGAAGACCCTTCTTACTACCTGTCTGAAATGGGAAGAAATCTGAATTCCAAAAGCATCTGGCCCCAGAGATTTCAGAGAAGAAATTTTACACTCATAAATTATTTTCCTTAAAATTAGAGGTGTTTATTTATCCCTTAAGTAATCGAGTGTTCATTAATGAATCTTCCCTTACGAAGAAAGCAAAGTAGGGGGAGCGGAGAAGCAAAGCAAGTGTAAATAATGGCTCTTCCAGTGATTATAGCAGCGCTTTTTCAGACCTGATTCTTCACTTTGGGTCTTTTAGAGGACATAAATCTAGATCTATACCTCTCCTGCAATTAAAAAAGAAAAAAAAAATTTTCACTGTGCAGTGGAATTGCATCCTTCTGCCCTGTGCTTCAAATTTGCGAGTGACTCACAGAACCATAGCGCCACCTTCCTTCCATATGTGGAATTGAATCTTCAAACAGCCCCTCCTGTACCGACTCGCAGGCCAGACCCAGCAAGGAAAGAATTCCTCGATACTCAAAACGTGAAGGAAGAGCTTCAGAGAGGCCAAGAGATATCTTTTCTTCATTGTGGTCTCTCAGCGATGAAAGTAGTACGCTAATATGACATTAGGAAGTATGAGCCATAAACTGTTTAATTAGTTTGCACTCAGTGAATCATTTTGCACACTAGCCATTTTAATTTACAATGTGTTGTGTTGCAGAACTTTTCTAGGCTTTTTACTATGTTCCAAAGTATTCTCCTAGCTGCTGAAACTTCAAAAATTAGAGGGTCACACTCAGTTCAGATTTTTTTTTCAATTTGCAGTTGCAAATCAAACATGCAGTTACAGAAGCAGAGATTCAAAAATTGAAGACCAAGGTAAGCACTGGTACCTGGTGTTTGAATTGTGCTCTTTAATTTCGGATACTATGAATATATTCAGCACAGAAGTAAAGGATTTAATCCTGAGCATTTGAAAGAACGCAGATGAAGAGATCAATTTCGCTCACCCTTGGGTGCTCTGACAAATCCACCAGTGGGAGCAAGCCCTCTCGTGTAGTACTTCTTGGGAAAATGACGTGACACTTGAGACTTGGAATACGTGCACTTATTGGCACATGTGTGGCCGGGGCCTCTGAGATTTTCTCAGAAGGCAACATTTTTACTGGCCCAAGCATCTGAGAAATGTTTTAATACTGAGCTCCTTAAACTTGAGCTGGTTTGCCATGTCCTCATGTACCTTGTAGCTAGGTGTAATCATTTTTGGTTTGTTCATCAGAAACAATGTATTTCTGAATGTAGTAATTCATTTTTATAAAAACAATTTCTAATTTCTATGAATTAACTATTATAAGCAATATAATACATGTGTACTTAATTTTAGGGGCCAGGTACTTCCAGGCAAGTTTTAGATTTGATGTCATTATTTAAATATGTGGGTAGAACAAAAAAACATGATGAAAGGAATTGTATATATTTTAATCTACATATACCAAATAATACAAGATTCAAAAGGTCATTTTTAATTGGTAAATTATAAGGTACTTGAATGAGACACATTTTTAGTGATTGTGTTTAGTTTTATCAAATACACAATTTCAAAGAAAAATGCCTTAGAATGACTTTAAAATAATTCTTCACTGTTCATATGATTGTTTTAAAAGTTAGGACATAATTACTTCCCCACCACTAGTGATGTGTTAGATTTCACATTAAATTCTTGTTTTAGGTTTTCCTTGCGGTGTTATATGGAAATGAATTAGCAAGGCTGTTTTGGTTACATGGTATTCCCAGCGAATATACTCTGGAGCTCTTTAGTTAAAACATGTCTATACATCCTTCCTGGTGTCAGCCCAGCACTGTGAAGAGTAATTTTTAAATTAGTAATGGTTGTTAAATAAACAACTTGATACAAAATGTTGCTTAATAAAAGGTGTAGTAAAAAGCCTAGTCTCATTTTTAAATTGTAATTATTTCCTGACATAGAAAGGGAAAGTATATTTTTAAAAAAATATTCCCCTGTAAATGTAAATACTATAATAGAACTTGTGTTAAACTTTATAAATATTTAGTTTAAAAATACTATGAATTAGTATTTTATATTTTTATTGCCTTGCATGATATCCACAGATTAACTTACTTTACTATGATTATTATTAATGATAATAGAATTCCAGGGCTGGGGATTTAGCTGAGCGGATCAGTGGCCTGCCTCGCAAGTGCAAGGACATGAGTTCGATCCCCAGTACCAAAAAAAAGAATTAATGATAATAGAATTCCTAATTTCAAAGTGTTTTGTGGGTAGTTTTCATTTGTAATCTTTGTTTTACAAATGTACTTAGTTCAAAATTTACATAAAGCGTATGCCTGAATATATAGTATAGAGTCATATTTTATATATTCATACATTTCAAGTATATCTCTATTTACTGAATGTTATCTAATTTTGGACTGTCTTGACTTTTTAACGTTCATAGTTTTCGATGGCTCTGTGTATATTTGAACTTGAAGAAGGCATAGGAAGTTAGATAAAGATGACCTGGCAGTTATTGTGAATAAATGACTTTTAAACTCTCCCTAAATGGTCACTGTTAAAATTCTGTTAAAATGAAGGTGTTAGACTAGTACGCTACCTATTTAGATTACCCAGAAGCAGAAGTCAGAAGTTACTTAAATCAGTCAAATAATTATTTATATTTTTACTTATTTGATTTTCTGTACTTTTGTGGGAATTGAGGTTTATAAAGATCTAGAAATTTATAACATTGCCTATAATACAAGCTATTGACTATTTTTGTGTTAACTGAATAAAGATAAAACCTAAATAAAAAATAAAATAAAAAACCTAATAAAGTCATCAAAATGATTAAAAGCAAATAAGAGCTAATAATTGTTAGATGGTTGTTAGGCTGCACAAGCCATCCCAACCATGCTGATAGCTGGTGTCACAGCTCTATGATACATCATAGTTCTGTTGTATGATGCCATTAACTTTTGGAGAAATTTAGTCACTTGCTAGGGGCTTAATAGCGTATAATGGCAGGCATAAGATTAAAATCTAAGCTGAATTTCTCCAGGGTCAACCTCATAACCATTAGGTTTCATTCTAATTCTGTCCCTTTCTCTCCTCCTCTCCCCACTTCCTTTTCAGTTAACTTTTTATGTATCATTTTACACTTTTATAAAATCTCTCAAAAGGTGTTGACATTCATTGGGTTTAGTCAGACTATCCAACAACTTTTCCTACTTGCAGAATTTCAGACTTCATAGTGTGAAGCAAGTTCATGGGAGCTGGACTCAAATTTATGTTTTGTCATTTATTAAATATATAACCATGGGTAAATCATTTGAATTTTCAGAGCTTGCATTTCATTGTCTGTGGAATTATGAAAGTAATACTTGATATTTGCATCTCAAGGTGTTTTGATGGTTGGTTGTATTCAGCAATAGAATTTAATCTAAAACATGCTGTTAGAATATGAGAGATTTTTTATACCAAGGCACCCAAGTTATTTTTGCCTTGATACTTGCTTTCTCCAGCTGCAAGCAGCAGAAAATGAGAAAGTGAGGTGGGAACTGGAAAAAAACCAACTCCAGCAGAACATAGAAGAGAACAAAGAAAGAATGTTAAAACTGGAGAGCTACTGGATCGAGGCTCAAACTTTATGTCACACGGTGAATGAACATCTCAAAGAGACACAAAGCCAGTATCAGGCCTTGGAAAAGAAGTACAACAAGGCAAAGAAATTGATCAAGGACTTTCAACAAAAGTAAGCAGCTTTTGAAGAATAGTTTCTTGTGTTTAAGATGATGTTTGTCCTGTGATTTTTGTAATACCACAGGGGTATGTGCATACCTATGTTTAAATTAGCACAATTTATAATAGGCAGTTCTTGGAAATGGCATAATGCCCATCAGCAGATGAATGGATAAAATATGGTATCTATAGACAATGGAGAGCTCCTCGGCTATAAAGAAATAAACTTGAGGCATTCACAGACAAATGGATACAACTTGAGAAAATGTCAGACAAACTTAAATATCTCATGGTTTCTCTTACATGAAACTCTCTCACTCTACCTAGATGGAGATATAGATATAGCCAGAGAGAGGCGGTTCGAGCAAAACAGAAGATAGGCAAACAGGAAATCGAGAAGTATTTTTCAAATGGATGGGGCAGATGGGGCAACAAGAGAATGGAGGCAAAGATGATAAAAATAGAGCTTTTACCAAAGGAGAAGGGACCAAGAGTTGGAAGGGGCAGGGAGGGAGGGGAGGTGACATTAAAAAAGAAAGAATTAAGATGTATTGTGTACGTGTGCCAACTTCTCCGTATAAATAATAACAATTTTGTAATATCTAGTGGAAAGAAAAGATGATCTCAAGGTTTTTCCTTTTAGAAGCATAGTTATGGCCTATAGTTACTGTGTTTTAGAATTTGCCTTTACCTTTTCTTGTGTGTGTGTGTGTGTGTGTGTGTGTGTGTGTGTGTGTGTGTGTGTGTGTGTTTCTTCCCTAGCATTGGTGAGTGAACTCACTGAGCTACAGTCCTTTCTTACTTCTTACGCTGAGTCAGAATCTTGCTAAGTTGTCTGGGCTGTGTTCAGATGTGCTAGCCTCCTGCCTCAGCCTCCCAATGTTGGGATTCAAGGTGTGCGCCACCACACCTGGCTGTATTTTTTATACTTTATTATGTTTCCGCAATTATTTGCCTCCTGGTTTTTGATAGTTCATCATTACCAGTAATTGCTAAAACATTTGAATTCCTTAACTCTTTTGAAAGCGCATCTGTGATTAGAAGCAAAAAGCCTGACTGAGCCGTGAAAATGACTGTTAGATGTGGTGAATACAGAGCAGCAGTTGTGGCCTGGATCTGGCTGCTTCTATCTGTAATCTTAGAGCCAGTAACTGCAGACTTTCTCAGATGCAAGCAGTGTAAATATTGACGAGCAAGACCTCCGTCCTTGAGCTGCCTGTCTGCATTTCCCAGCTGTTGAGAGAATCACAGGGCCCCGGATAACTCCTTTATTGTGCTTTTGAACTTCCGCAACTCTCTGAGCTACAGCTGCTTTGCTTTGCTGTGCTTCCATCTCTTGGATCTTGGTGTAATGTCATGGGAAATGACCAGGGAGAGTTTTACTAGATTTTTTTTATCAATTATTTCTGGCTAGCTAGAACAAAAATGTAGTGCCACTTCCTCTTCTGGTCTCCCGTGTTAAGCCTTAGAACTAAGTATGTGTGAGAGTCCCCATATCTCCATTTCCTATCATGGGAATAGTATTTTTAATAGTTAATATTTTAATATAAATGTTGAAAAGACAGTAATTCCTCTTTGACACTGTGAATTCAGTATAATACTTCAACATCATTTTAACTTTTTGCAAAAAAAATCATGCCTGTCTTTCATATAATACATTTAAAATAAATTTTACCAAATTTGCATGTTGTGTGCTCAGCTGTGAAAGTGGAAGATTTCTCCTTCTCACCGTGTTACAGATAGGTGTGTGAGTGACGCCTCTCTCAGAGCTCCTGAGCCCCTCCACTGTTAGCCACTTCCACACAAAGAAATCAGATTGTAATTATCCTTTTCAACACCTCACTATCTAGTTCCATCAGTTATTTACATGTATGACGTTGGAAATTGGAATCATTTCTACCTGACGTGTAATTATCTTTCCTGAACTACCCAGGATAGGTCATTAGTGTAGTAGCAGCTCCTGTGTAATGGGTATGGATGCTCCGGAGTCAGAATCTCCAAGTGAAAATCGTAAGCAGAACAGAAATGTTTGTTTATTTTATGATCCATTAAAGATGTTTTATTTTCCTTCAGTACTCTAAACTGCGGTTAAGGTTTGCTTATTTAAATATCTGCCTAATTGTTTATCCCACTATGCAGTTTATTTCTCAGATTATGGCTTTTTGTTTCTTCACTTACTGAGTGTCCACTATAATCAAATGTTATATTTTTCTTAAGAGAGCTTGATTTCATCAAAAGACAGGAAGTAGAAAGAAAGAAAATAGAAGATTTGGAAAAAGCGCATCTTGTGGAAGTTCAGGGCCTGCAAGTGCGGGTGAGCTGCTTTTTCAGCCACTAAATCATGAGATAGTTGTGCCTGATATATGTGGAGGTATGCTGGTTGAATAAATGAGCTTTTTTCTCCCTCCCTCCCTCCCTCCCTTCCTTTCTAGATCAGAGATTTAGAAGCTGAGCTGTTCAGGCTACTGAAGCAAAATGGGACTCAAGTGAACAATAACAACAATATCTTTGAGAGAAGAACATCTCTTGGCGAAGTCTCTAAAGGAGACACCATGGAGAACTTGGAAATCAAGCAGACATCTTGTCAGGATGGCCTAAGTCAAGGTGTGTTTAACCTAACCAAGAAAATCAGTTTTAATGACTGGATAATTTAGACTTTGAGTCTTCTGTTTTCTAATTTAGAAATTCACAGGTTGAAAATGCCTTCCTACCGTAGGAAATAACTCGTAAAAATAGGAGTCTGCCATTTGAGCTCTAGCTCATCAAATATAAATCGTTTAACAGAAATAGCTTACAAAATATCAACTACAGACAAAAAAATATTATTTTAAGCCATCATAAAATTAATATACGGATACTGCTTTAAAAATAATAGACCACACCATCTAGGATGAGCTCCACAACTTACACATTAAAGGATGGGGCTTAGAGATTTTAGTCTTTAGGATAAGGATCTTTTTCATAACTTCAGAGGACAGATTGCCTGTTTCTACCACTGGTAATTCAGTTAAGTAGTTCTGAGGACTGGGGATGTAGCTCAGTGGTAGAGCATTTGCCTAGCACAACCAAGGCCCTAGGTCCAATCCCAGTACTGCACACACAAACACAGACATACGTGGTTGTGTTAACCTTGATTTTCTTTGTGTACATCTCATATCTTTCCTTCTTATTTGGACCAAATAAGACCATGACACTGGGCTAGATCCAACATTTGTAAACAAATTAGTTACACTCACCCTCCATATAAAGGCTGTGTGTATGAATGGTTTATTATCTTTAGTACTTCCTATAAATTAGAAAATATACAAGAATTTATGAAGATAAACATACAAGAAAATAGGAAACTCTTGGCTTCATCCTTTTAAATACATATGCATGCATGTGCACGCACATGTAGCAGTCTTGGAAAGTGAAAATAAAATAGTAATAATGTGCAGCAGGATTGTTATGATTCAGCCCACAGTTCGCAGGAAGCAGTTTAACATATAGCAAAACCCTGCTAATAATGAGCTGTTTCATTTTTATGAGGATCTTTCTCATATTAAAATGTTTCTTGTGAGATTTTCTTGGTAAACAAGTGCTCATATCCTATCATGAACTTTTAGAACTAACTTCTTAGCCATTTAAAATGAAAAGTATTGGAAATGTTCATTTAAAACTAAGGTGATCTCTAGAGATTTGAATGCATTTACTAGATAGTCTTATGTCTTTCTGATTGATATAAATAGCACCACTCAGGTAGCTGAAACAGGACGATTTAGTATCAGCATCATCACTAAGCAAGGAGCTGTGCGACTTTAGGAAGATCATTTGGCCTCTGAGAGTAGATTTTACTATGTATAATATAAAAATACTGATAATTATTTTCTTTTCCACCTAACAAGGGTATTTTGAGGCTATTTGACTTGGCCTGTGGAGCAAAAAGAAAAAGTAATTTTACACTAAGAGTTTATGGAATTATAATTTTTGTAACTATACAATTGATATCTAATGAAAACCACTAGAAATCAATGTGGATCTTTTTCTCACCTTTTTGAATATTTTAACTTTAAAATTAATTGTAGTTTATTATAAATACATGTTCTTGATCTGGGATACACAAAGTATTACCAGTAACCATTAACTTTTCATTATTATTCATTTATTTCGATTTAGAAACCTATATTTAATCAAACACATAATTAATGATATTTATTAAATTATATGACTACAGAAGATCAACAAATTGTACTATTAACATGCTGATTTGGATCAAAATCTTACATTTCTTTTAAACCTTTTTCTGCTCTACACCCTCCATTTTGCCACATAATTATCTGTTTCCCTAGCAACACTGTGGGTGCGCAGTGAGATGTAGAGACTACTAATTCCTCCTGAAACCAATCTGTGTGCAGTAGAGGTAGAATCAGTCATCTCACACATTAGTAGAACACGTATCAAGTTGCTCCTCTAGTTTTGCAGCCAAGGATAGTCAGTGATAAATCTCCTTGAATTTCAGTTGCTTGGTTATATAAACTAAAATGGCTTGGTCAGTCACTACATAGAATGCTCTGGAAAGCACTTTTCTAAATTGATCCTTTGCTTCTGTTGCTAGGGAACACTGAAGTACCAGAGCTTTAGAAAGGAGAGTGAGGCTGCTGACCACACACAGGCCGTGCAGCATGTATAAATCCCACCATGTTTTTGCAGCAGCCTAGCTATAGAGCTTGCTTTTGGCCCCTCTGGTCTCTGCCCCTTGGTAAAGCACCGCCATCCATCCACCTCTTACGATTTACTTTTCCAGTGCTGGAGTGCTGAGATCAGCAGTTAGTATGGTTGGGGCCCTGGAGGCAAAGGGATTATCAGTTACATGTCAGTGAAAAACCATATTAGAATGGAATAATGAGGAGGGGAAGAGGAATAGAAAGCAGGTAGAGGAGGCAGAAGAGAAAGTAGAGGAAAGGAAGATACAGCAGGCACTCATTTTTCATGTGGGATCATATTCTCCTAGACAAGTGCTTCCCAACTGGGAGTACCTATGTGACTTCAGTTTTGAATATTATACATTTTTGAGTAATAAAATCATTTTCAAAACTACGCAAAACTTTGCCACATTATATATTTGAACTCCACAAGTATTTCATTCAAATTTTGACAAATATTATATATTCAAATTCACTGTTTAATATATTTGAATCCTTTTCTTTCCTATCATAATTCTATAAAGTAAATGCAAAAAAATTTTTTGAACCAGAAGTTACAGCAGACCCCATATCTCTTACTGTTTATACCAATATGCTGGTCACATACCATTTTCTACATGTACCTGGATGGGAGAAATGATAACTTTGTCCTACTGATACATTTCCTGTTTGTTACTGCTTAGTACTTAAGTAGCACTGTTCTATGTGAGAGTTCTCTGTTTTAAAGAATGGGAATGTGTTGCTGCCATCCTGATAAGTCAGACTAGAATTAGAGCAGAGAAAAGGTAGGTTAGAGAGCTCTTGGTAAATTAAAGGGTTGTAAACTTGGTTGGATTAGATTTCCTGGAAAAGTCACTGCACTTTAATACTTTCTTCCTATCCTTCTAAAAGTGTCAGGATTCATACGATGATACTTTTCAATTTCAAATATTTGAAAAGCTGTTCTGTTAGATAAACATTTTGCATATCTACAGAGATACTGAAAGAAAGATTAGGGCCAATAGTTGAAAGTTACATAAGAAGGCAAATTATTGCTTCCTTATGAGAGGTCAGGAATGAGTATGGTACCATTAAACAATTATTTTGAACACTAGATACTTGCTCCTAGGCAAACTGTAGGTGACACACTGACTTGCAAGGGAAAGGGTAACTAGAATTTTAAGCACTGTATAAGCGTCTTAAACATGAGAGAGGCTCAAAAAGAACAACAGTGAACAAAATTGGAATTTTTTTTTTCCTGGATTCACAGACCTTATGTTAAAGATGGGGCCATTTAAAGTGGTATGAGGTACTCCTGGAATAAAACAGGCTTTGAATGTTTGGAGAAAAGCTGGCCTGAAGATTATACAGTTTTGAGGTATAACTTTGGGGTTTGTAATTCAGAGATCCCTCTGAAGGGTGGTATTGCTACCAAATGCTGCCCTCACCTCCTCAGTCTGCCGACCTTTTCCAGGGCAGTACTTGGTGTTACTTCCCCAGAGTGTGACCACAGAGGGTTCCAAAAAGTGCATTGTGCTTGGTTCTTTTAGTTACTTCTATTTTTATATATCAACTAAGTGTTTTGTGCAGTACCTGTTACATAGAAAGAGATTCATGTTATACCATAACAGTAGCATCACTATAGTAACAAATGCTCACTGTACTCCAGAGATGGAAAGACATCTTTTACTACTTTTTTCATTTATAAGAACTTCATGAGTTTTCTATGAGCTCCATAAACTAATGAAATGTGACAATGACCTAATGAGACCAAGTACTGATAGAGTATATTCTCTGAATAAGTGGCCTAATTTAATGCCGCTAGTGTCAGAGGAAAAGGATATTAAACCAGAGCCAAAGTCAACCAGCTCCTTTTCTAAAAACAAAATGAAAAAGTCCTGGTTTCCACGAGATTCCAAATGTGGACATTTAGATCTGGCAGAATGAGCGTTCCAGGAGACTGGCAGGATCAGATGCCATAAGCTCACTTAGCTCAGAATCCAGGCAGCTGTGCTATGGAATTTCTTGTTGTAAAAATTGTGTCTCCTCTTTAAATGCTTTAGTGTAGCTGTCTTTTGTTGTATAGGAGCCCAAATGGCCTCTTTCAGTTTCTCTTGTGCCACCTTATAACCTTATGGTAGTTGGAGCTACCAGGTATAACCTTATCAAAACAAGTACCATGAGGTCAAGGTACATATGTGATTTTTGTTGTTGCTGTTGTTTGATTTGATTTGTTTTTTTGTAGAGAGGGCCGTGCTGAATTTCTTAGGCTGACCCTTAACTTGTCATCCTGCTGCCTTCACTTCAGAAGAGGTTCATGTTTACTATAAAATGGTGTAATTAATACTGATTGTATGTATAGTCCCATAGGGTATAGAAACAGGGAAAACTGCTCCCTACAGTAAATTAGGAAATCTAGAGTTTTGATTTTTAACTAATACTATATAAAGAGTACTATGGTGAACCGCCTTATAAATGTGTCATTTTGTTTACTTATTACATTTTTTACATAGATTTCTAGAAATAAGGTGGCTGAGTTAAAGGTCAAATGATTTAAAAGCTTAAATAATACCTAGTGGGATAAATAAAAATAAATCTATACTTGTTTACATTATAATGGAACATTGAACACAAAGTATAAATTCTGAAAGTACTCACAGATTAAAAATATCTAAGAAAATTATACTGAAACCTATCAGCAGCAAGAATGGAAGAAGACAATAGAACGATATGTTCAACAAACAAAAAATTGATCATTTTCCATCAATACTTCCTCAGAGGGCTGGGGATTTAGCTCAGTGGCACCACACCTGCCTTGCAAACACAAGTTCCTGAGTTCAATCTCCAGTACCAAAAAAGAAAAGTTCTTCAGACAAACTTGTAAAAGATTCGTTTTGGAAGGAAGAAAAATGATCCAGGATTGACCTCAAGACTCAAGATAGA